TTAGGTTTTATTTTCTGTTTTATTTTCTTGCGGCTGTTGTCCGGTGCTCCCGCTTTCTCCTCGAAAGGCGTGTGATTTCCTGCGAGGAAAGTGATCTCGTGGTGTTTTTGACCGTGCCGTTTCTTCGCTGAAATCTGGAATCTTTGCTCCGAATCTCTAGTCCACGCTTGTGTCAGTTTCCCTTGACCGCCCTTGCTGCAGAGGCTACGAATTTGCTGCAGAAGCTATCCCTTGATGCCAAGACTGAAGCCATCGACGCGCCGGCGGCGAAGGAAAAGGTGTGATCCGCTTCTCTCTGCAACACAATATCGCATCTTATTGAATCACCGTGTGCTGAATCTATCTCTTTGCCCGCTTTCTCATTTGCAGGCGTCCGGAGGGCTGGGCGGCAAGCTGAATGGTGTTGCGGCGACTCGCAACCCAAGGGCGGCCGAGCAGTTGGCAAATCCACAGGACTACAGCGATGCGAGCATGTATTATGGCGCCTACCCTACTGCTTACTACTGCGCAGGTGAAGCACTATGCCAAATTGTGCTACTCCTATTTAGTTTATGTTGTTTCTGGTGAATTAGTAACATGCTTGCAATTTTATACGGAATCTCACTGCATTTTTTTAATGATTTACCCTGTATATGGATGATTGTGTAGTATTTGTCACTTACAAGCACAATTACATAGACTGCATCTTGGTATAATATTATTTACACCGTTTTTTTCCTTTGCAGGCTGGGGTGATTATTCCATGTACTTGAATCAGGATGGAGTGGAAACACCTACCGCTGTGAGTATTACACCTCCTACATCACAAGGTTTTTGGCAATTGCAATTGACTGGCCCTCTTTGGATTGACACGTCAAATATTGGTTTTCAGGGTGCCTATGGTGACATGTACTGCTATCCTCAATATGGGCATGATGGTCAGATGTATGGGTCACAGCAATATCAGTACCCATCATCATACCACCAGCCCCAGAATACTGCCAGTAAGCCACAATACAAGTCTAAAACTGACAAGCTAGCCCCATCAAAGGATATTTCCTCTGCTGTTGCTGATCCGCTGCCTGCTGTAGTCAGTGCTCCCAAAGCCACTTCAAACAGCGTTGATGAGGTCAAAGGTCTGAAGAAGACATCCACACCACTGAACCCAAGTGGGAACAATGGTAGTTACCTGAACCAAAGTAGCAGACCAGCTTATCCATGGTACGGTGGCCAAATCTACCAGGGAAAACAGCAGAAGCCTTCTAGTGGCAATCCTACTTCAACTGATTCAAATCCTAAAAGCAAGGTTCAGTCAAAGAATCAGAATACTCAACCTCTTCCTCCTCTGATGGTATGTACTGTTGTTGCCACTAAACCTGTTGTTTTATTTATTGATCATTTCTCAAAAGCTTGTGCCACAGAATATTAGTAACTCTTAAGCATTGTTGTTTAATGTCTGCACCTCTGTGGCTTGCCGAATGCTTGTGCTTTACTGAGTTTGGTTCCTGCCATGTCACCTTGCACTTTGACTGCTTCTGTTGATTGGTGAATTCAACATAACCTGCAGCTGTATTAATTTGTACATTTAGATACTGATTTTTTTAAATGGAATTATTTGCAGAGTTTACCTAACTCACCGGTGGCTTCAATGTATGCTGCTAATGGAATGTACAACAGCAGTGCCTATGGTGGCTTTTGGTATGGATCCCAATTTTATGGGCCAGGAATGTATGGTGGGTGGAATAATCTGTCGGATGGAAAATACAAGCCCCGAGGGAGGACAGCATATGGATCGTATGGATTTCCCAATGAAAACTTGGATGGTTTGAATGAGTTGAAGAGAGGACCACGGAGTGGACTCTCTAATAACCAACAGGGCTTTGTACCTGCTGCTGCGACAGCTGTCAAAGCACAGGATGTTTCTGCTACTGATGGCTCTAATGCAGTTGTGCAGGATCAGTACAACGGGTCTGACTTAGCTGACACTTACGAAAATGCCAAATTCTTTATTATTAAGTCGTACAGCGAGGATGATGTTCACAAGAGCATCAAGTACAATGTTTGGGCCAGCACACCTAATGGAAATAGAAAGCTTGACAGTGCTTATCTAGAAGCTAAATCTGTCAATTCTCCTGTGTTCCTTCTCTTCTCTGTAAGTTTTCAGATCTTGTGCTCTTTTTAGAAGTCTTGCATTATCAACAAGTTTGTGGTAAGCTGACGAGTATGATGTTCTTTTTCAGGTTAACACCAGTGGGCAGTTTGTTGGTCTCGCTGAGATGGTTGGCCAGGTTGATTTTGAAAAGACGGTGGAACACTGGCAGCAAGACAAGTGGACTGGTTGTTTCCCTGTCAAGTGGCACATTGTCAAGGATATTCCCAACAACTTGTTAAAGCATATCATTCTCGAGTATAATGAAAACAAACCAGTGACAAACAGCAGAGATACACAGGAGGTGAGAATAGTGCCTGTACATTTCATTGTTGAAACACCAAGAAGCCATAATAAGTCTCATGCATGCTGTTGTTATTATGACATCTTTATAGGTGTTTGCAAAATTTGCATGCTGGTGTCAAACTGTGCTTAATGTCTTTCTTTCCCATACCTACTGCAGGTCAAGCTCGACCAAGGCCTTCAGGTGTTGAAGATTTTCAAGGATCATGTCTCCAAAACATCCATCCTGGATGACTTCAGCTTTTATGATAACCGTGAGAAGATAATGCAAGAGAGGAAATCACAGCGGCAGCATCAACTGAAGAAGGTAAATACATAGCACATTAGTTTAGGTTGTTGGTGCGCGCCTCTTAGATCTGGTGAAGGGTAATTCTTTGTGCTAGCTTAGTTTGCAGTTAAATCCCATTCTAGAGTGTTCCTAGTTTTTTTTTTGTGTGTGGTGTGAGCAGTGTTGTAGCCACCTTCCTTGTAAAATGCAAGGACTTCCATTTTCCGGTTTGGTAATTTGCATGACCTCCTTTCAGCGTGAGTCCTTTCCCTGATTCAATCAACTTATCACCTATTAGAAAGGCTGAAGTTGTTAAAACTGTCATGTTACTCATTCAAACTTCTTTTATTGATTATTATGCAGATCACGAGTCCGAAGCTGCTGCCTACTGTTGACAACACTGAAAATGATTCCGGCAATGCGCAGGAATCGCAGAAGCCTGAAGCTACCGGAGAGAACAAATCTGCGGCGGAAAACAATGTGGTGGCGGCTGCCGTGAGCGGCGTTGCCCCGAAAGATGCTAACCCCACAGCCGCAAGCTTGGCTGTCGCAAATGGCTGCTGATTTTTTTTGTCTGTCGAGTTGTGAGTAAGGTGACATGACAGCTTGGGAGTTTTGGAGGAGGCTGGCGCAGTTCAACTGTTGGAGGCAATCAGGGCTCTGTTGGGGTTCCGTAGGTGTTTTTGCAGAAAGTTTGAGGGATATGATTAGGTTTCTCTTGAGATTTCCCCCCTGTATTATTATTTCTCTATCTTGGAGTTGAGTTCGGCTGGTAGGAGATAGAGATCATCATTTGTTGATCTGGGGTGGTGGTGTGTTGTCTTTTTTTTATCTTGTCGTCGGTAGAAAATGTACCTAGGTGTGGTGATTTGTACTGTTTTTGCAAGAAGTAACTTGTCTGTTTCAGTGTTTATGTACTATGTGTCAGATGCGTCTCATGTTTTCTTCAACAAACTTCTGTGCGACTTTTGGCCTACGTTGAGCTTTCAGTTTTGAAAAATAATAACCTGAAGTGGTGTGAGAAGTTTCAAAAATTTCTGAAAATGAGTGTAACTGCACATGTTTTTTTCTTCAGAAAAACCTATATCTTTCGAATATAACATCTAAAATGTTTAAGAATTTTGGAACCTCTCTTTTACATTTTCAAAACCGTGAAGTTTTTTTTGAAACAAGGCAAAAGACTTGCCATACGCCCAAAGATGGAAATCTTGGCAACAATAATGGTGGTCGGTGGAGCAGTGTTGTGAAAGACGCAAGACTTTCTTGATGTGCCCTCCATTGTTTATCGTCCAGCAATCTTGAACCGTGTCTTCATGGCGCCAATAAAACCGTGAAGTTCTTCTCATTTTGGATATAACAGACTGTAGAAGTTCTGAACCCTCTTTAATTATCGGGTAGAAGAAACAAAACGTACTCAGGCTGTCACGCATGGTATTCAGCTGATACCGTGTCCAAGAAACTTTTGGTGAACAATTTTGTTTTTTTACACAAACAAGAATGAAATTCTTAGAACCACCTGTTTTTTTACAAGTGTATAGGAGGGTACTCTCTCCCCGTAAAGAAATATAAGAATGTTTAGATCACTAATGTCATTTCGAAGTTAGTTTTTGTTGTTGTTAAGTTTATTGAGCAGTGGATCACCTTTTTTTCTTTTGAGCAGTAGATCACCTGAAGTTCTGAAGCACCTCACAAGTCAGTCACAGATCCAAACGTGTGCACCTTATAAAGAAAAGAAGATCAAAATCTGTTCACGAAAGTGGGCCCCCACCCCCAAAAGGTCCAGGAGGGCCATGCGATCAATCTATGGACAGCAATAAAGCACAAAAATTAAACCCATTAATAAAAGGGAAGGAAGGGCAAACAACCAGCTATACCAAGTGGCACCCACAAATGGAAATGAGTTTTTTTTTCAAGATGGATGTGAAGGTCACGTGTCATTTGCTGTTTGGCTAATGTCAGAAAAGTTTATTTTTTGGTGAGATGGAGCTGAGGGTATTGTTTTCTTTTTTTTCTTCAAGAAAGATGAAGAAACAAGCACACACCTTCATCTCAGGCGACGCGCAATCGGGCCCCCAACACTAGTCCAAAGCAAGCATGAAGGAAAGCATTAAAACCCTCGAAACCCCATGATGACATACTTAATTACCATCCTTCCTTCACTCGTTTCTCTCGCTTGCTCCCCTTTTTATTTCTTTCTTTTCTCCCAGACTACGGCGCCTCCCTTCCCCTCCCCATCCAGCGTGAAGGTTTCTTTGAGTTTTATCCCTCGCGCCGGCACGCGCCGTGACCCGGACCTCCTCCATGGCCCTCGCCGCCGACCATATTCTTTCACCGCTCTGCTGCTCCGGTGGTTTGTCCGCACATTTTAAATCTTTAGAATAATACATGTTTTTTTCTCCATATTGTTTTAGATCTTTATAATAAGCCATTTACGATGGAACTACGAATTTTGGGCCTTGACCCTTGCTTTGCTCATGTCCACAGGCCTTTGAAAACTGAAAACCGTGAAATTCTTCTCGTTTTGGATATAACAAACCGTAGGGGTTGGGATAAATCGTGTCATCTTTAAATCGTTTTATTACAAAAGAGAAGGAAGATAGATGCATATTTTGTATTTTTTATGGAATGGATGTATATTTCAGAGCCTATTTTTCTCACCTCGGAAAGCCGTGAACCATTTCCCATCATTGGGTGCTAGAAACAAAACGTACTTACATGCACATGTATCAAAAAAGAAACAAAAACATACTCACGCTGTCACGCATAGTACTCAGCAGACATCGTATCCAAGAGACTTTTGGTGAACAGTTTTGTTTCTTACACCACACAGGGGTTGAAATTCGTAGTGGAACCACATGATGCTGTTTCCTTTTCTACGAGGGTACATGTTTTTGTTTCTCAGTGCTGTTGAGTTTTTTTAGCAGTATCATGTGAAGTTGTGAGCAGCCTCACAGGTCAGTCAGTCTTTTTTTTTTAGACAACTCACGAAGCTTTTTATTGATTCGTCACAATGTTTACAGGGACGAAAGAAAGATCTCCGGGATGGCCTAACCACACACGGCGTCCACCCCCGAGAGATAGAGCATGCTTCGCTAAGTTGTGAGCTTCATAATTTGAGCTCCTAAATTCATGGCTAACCTTACACATATCGAAAGTTACAAAATGGCTTAATATTTCATGGACAATAGCACCATATGGAGATGCGTCCTCCTTCTTCAGAGAGTCTAGTACCTTCTTGCAATCCGATGCAACATGAATGCGCCTTTGGTACAAGTCCTCCGCAAGTGCAAGTCCCTCTCTGATCGCCATGGCCTCTAGCGTTTCCGGGTCCCCAATATGCTCCATGATCAGCGCAGAAGCTCCCAAAAACAGACCATCTGAGCTTCTGCAGATTGCACCCACAGCCCGGAAGCGAGCCTGCCTTGGTGCGGCCGCGTCCACATTGATCTTCACGCATCCCGTGGCCGGAGCCTGCCACTGGGTTGGCCTTGTAGCTTTGACAACGGTCTTTCGAGGTTCACTTGCCTTAATATATCTCAGGTCATCAAGAAAGCTTGTGATAAATCCATAAATAGATTGCGGTGATTGGAAGATGTCCTCATAGATCGCTTTCCTTCGGGCTCGCCAAATCGCCCACATAATAACAATCATGTGTGCAAACATATCTCCGTTCAAAACTCCACTCATAGCAAAAAGCCAATCCTTGGGATGTTCTTCCACTCTATCCACAAGATGATGAACCAAATCCTCCGGAGCTAAGGCCCAAACACCGCTTGACATCGGACACGTAAAGAGTGCATGTCTCCAAGAGTCAACCGCCCCGCACAAAGGGCACTTGTCCTCGGTAGCCATATTGCGATGCTTGAGTAAATCAATAGTGGGCATGGAGTTTCTCGCCAATCTCCAAACGAACATGCGAAGTTTCGATGGAACCTGCATGTGCCAAATGGTACTCCACTTGTCCGCCTCCTGCTGCACAATAGATGTTCCCGCTTCTCCGCTCAGCCAGGCCTCCCGTTTGTGCTTTGTTCTGAGAATCATGCAATAACAGGAGCGAGCACTGAAATTTCCTTTTGGTTCTTCCTGCCAAGCCCAAAAGTCCGCAACCTTGCGAGTACACAGTGGTATCTTCAGAATATCGTCGGCATCAAACCGAGCAAAGGTTGCTCGAATCAGCTCCTCCTTCCACGATGCCGTGGTACTGTCTATAAGCTCGGAGACCATAACTGGAGGGTTTTGCGTTAGCGATGTGATGGGTCTTCTTACTCCTTCCCTCGGTATCCAATTGTGTCTCCAGATATAAGTGGACTCGCCATCTCCAATCCTCTTCGCAGTACCTTGTATCAAAACATCCCGACCGTCAATGATCGAGCGCCAAACCTGAGAAGGGTGTGACCCAAGCTCCGCCTCAAGAATAGAAACCTCCGGAAAATAAACGGCCTTTAAAATCCTGGCACTTAAGCTTAGCTCCCCCGTTAGCAGCCTCCAAGCCGTGCTAGGAGAGCTAAGTTGAAGATCTCCATATCCCGAAATCCCAATCCTCCCAAACTTTTCGGGCTTGTCATAATATCCCAAGCCACCCATGCGGGCTTTCTTCTCCCCTGCTTGCTTCCCCACCAAAATTGTCGTATGATTGAAGTTATATTTTCACAAAGGCCTCTTGGCAATCTGAAACAGGACATAGAATAGACTGGTATCGCTTGGGCCACAGCCTTGATTAACACTTCTTTACCTGCTGAGGACAAAAGCTTCTCCATCCATCCTTTGATCTTCTCCCAAACCCGGTCTCTCAAGTATTTGAACGTGCCATTTTTCGAGCGTCCCACATCGGTTGGCATGCCTAAATAGCGTTCATTCAAAGTCTCCTTGTGCACATGCAAGGTGTTTTTTATTGATTCCTTCAAGGCAGCCTGACACGACTTGCTGAAGAAAATTGAAGACTTATCATGGTTGATTCTCTGCCCCGAAGCTGCACAGTAGGTCTCGAGCAAGTTTGATGCCACACCTGCACCCTCTACATTGGCCTTGAATAGCAACAGGCTATCATCTGCAAACAACAAGTGGTTAACGGTGGAAGCCGTTGGGGCCACTTGAATACCTGCAAACGATGACGAAGAACTAGATTTAAGGAGGCACGAAAGGCCCTCTGCTGCAATCAAAAATAAGTAGGAGGAGATTGGATCTCCTTGTCGGATTCCTCTCGATGGTTGGAACGATTCGAGCTTCTCTCGATGGTTGTCGGATTTAACAGGTCAGTCAGTCGCAGATCGAAACGTGTGCACGGAGGCGGCCCCCCCATTTATTTGTCCTCCACCGAAAAGCCCAAAAGGCCCAGGGGGCCCACGCGATGGATCGGTCGACGGACGGACGGACGGAGAGCAGTAATAATAAATCCGATCGCAAAATTCCAAAGCAAGCGGGAAGGGAAGGAAAGCATTAAAACCTCCAAACCCCACGGCGACGCGAAATACTTAACGCCGTCCTCCCTCCACTCGTTTCTCTCGCCTCGCCTTTCTTTCTTTTCTCCCACGCCGCGGCGCCTCCCCCACCCCACCCCGCCCCCCATCCACCGCGAGGGTTTCTCTGGGTTTTACCCCCCGCGCCGCGCCGCGCCGGACCGCACCGCCGCCATGGCCCCCGCCGCCGCTCGCGCCGCCGACCGTATCCTTCTGCCCGTCGCGCTGTTCCGCTGGCTTGGTTGCGTTTTTTTCCCTCCGAATTTCCGTTGGGTTTTTCGGGCGGGTGTCGCGGCGTGTCGTGTCGCCCGCGGCCGGATCTCCCGGTGCCCGGTCAGGTCTCCTCGGTTCCGCGGAGGTTTCCCGCCGGGATTCGGGAGGGGTCTGCCCGCGGAGGTTTTTGCTGGGCAGCCCGTATTTAGGCGTGTTTCCTCGCTGGGGTGAGGGCTGCGGCCCCGGCTGCGTAGGGGATTTTGTTCCGTGTGTTTTTGGGGGCGTACTCGCTCCTGGCGCTTCGAATTTCACCCAAGCCCCGTGATTTTCCGGATTATTAGTTTGCCTGTTTGGATTTCGGACATGTCCGCATCGGTTCCCCCTTGACCTGCCGTGATGCAGACGCCGCGGATTTGCTGCACAAGCTGTCGCTGGATCCCAAGGGCGGCGTGGCCGGCCAGGGCAAAGAGGCGCAGAGGAAGGTATGACCCGCCGCTTCTCTCTATGGTCTGTACCATCTTGTTGCACGGCCGTGATGGTGTTGTTGTAGTGGGCTTTCCATAGTCTGAATCTGTATCACGGTGCAGGTCTCGGCAGCGCCCAATGGCAGGATGAACGGCGTGGTGGCATCTCCAAACCCTCAGGTGGCGTCGACGGGGCAGTGGCCAGCCATGGGGCTGCAGGATTACAAGAATGCCAACATGTATGGTGCTGGCGCTGACGCCTACCAGTATTACTATGGAGGTGAGGCACCAAGGAACCATTTACCCTGTTGCTGTCTGTTTCTGTTGAATTGGTTATTATAGCAGTGTGAATTTGTAGTTAAATCACAGATTTTCATATGAAATTGGTGGTAGTCTGATAGCAATGCCTTTTGGGATTTGCAGGCTGGGGGGATTATTCAGTGTATGTGGGCCTTGACGGAGCAGAGTCACTTAACCCTGTGAGTGTTATATCCTCTACTTTACATACCTTGCAGACACTTGGGTTTACATGCTTTAATCGGATGAACTAATCGCCACCTGTAAAGCATCTTGAAGATTTTCGCTGCATGTGAAGTGTGTTAGGATGACTTAGTTTAGCCTGTTGGTTTTCTGCAGGGTGCTTATGGGGACATGTATTGCTATCCTCAGTATGGTGTTGCTTCGTCTGGGTATGATGCGCAGATGTACGGATCTCAGCATTACCAGTACCCGTCCACGTATCTCCAGCCACAGACTACCAGCACCACTAAGCCAGCATACATGCCTAAAGCTGGCAAATCAGATCCTTTACCGCAGAAGGATGCTTCTGCTGCACCTGCTGCTTATCAGAAGCCTGGATTAGTGGATGCTTCCAAAGCCAATTCAACCAGCACTGATGGTTCAACAGGTCTGAAGAAAACGACATACCCCGTGAAACCAAGTGGGCGTTCAGCTAGTTATCAGAACCATGGTGATAAAGCTGCTTATCCATCGTATGGTGGTCATACTCAGCAGAAACTCCCTGTTGGAAATACTACATCAACTGCTTCTAATCCTAAAACCAAGGTACAGTCGAAGAATCAGAATTCGTTACTGCTTTCTCAATTCTGGTGTGCATATTGTCCTTCCCCAGAGAGCTATTTCTGTGTAGCTTTCTGGTCTTTGTTCAGATGTCTGCATCACAGATTTTTAGCAATTATGAGTAGTTATATATTTTCAATAATTTCGAGTATTGCTGCTTGTTGCTTGATCCTACCAATATGGTTTGATACCATTTGTGAAAGCACCTATTTGGATGGTTTGTGATGTATGTCATTGTAATTAGCTGCATATCATTGGGGTTATCCGAGGGCACACTCCATTATTAATTTTGCCAGGTCAAAGTGAAAATTTTGTATTCTGCATATCTGTAAGCTCATATGTTTTATGTATTGAAATAGCCTGTTCTTAACATGGAGACATATCTTGCAGGGATTGCTTGGGCAAAACTCAGCAATGGGGCCACAGACACCTGGGTACATGAGTTCCATGTACTCTAGTGTCATGTACAATGCAAATGCATATGGACCTGACTATTGGTATGGATCTCACCTCTATGGCTCTGGTATGTATGGTGGGTGGAATGTACTGTCAGATGGAAAGTACAAGCCCAGACCAAAAACCTATGGATCATATCGTTTCGGTAATGAGAACATAGATGGCTTGAATGAGCTGAAGAGAGGGCCAAGAAGCACTGTCATTAAAAATGAGCAGGGTGCTGGAGAAGCTGCTGTTGCACCTGCAAAAGGACAGGAGCTTCCTACTGGCGATGCCTCAAATGCAGTTGTGCAGGGTCAGTACAATAAGGCTGACTTTGCTGAAACTTACTCAGATGCCAAGTTCTTCATTATAAAATCTTACAGCGAGGATGATGTTCACAAGAGCATCAAGTACAATGTTTGGGCAAGCACCCCCAGTGGAAATAAAAGGCTTGATGCTGCTTATCAAGCAGCTAAAGACAAATCAAGCAATTCACCTGTATTTCTGTTGTTCTCTGTAAGTGCATAATAGTTCCGTGCTGCTAAAACAGCTTGTTTTTTTCTATCTGAACTGTCTTCATAGTGGTTGCTGATCTGATGCATCTTTCCTGTTCCTCTTTTTTCTCAGGTCAACACCAGTGGTCAGTTCATTGGACTTGCTGAGATGGTTGGCCAGGTTGATTTTAACAAGACAGTTGAATACTGGCAGCAAGACAAGTGGACTGGCTGCTTCCCCGTCAAGTGGCACATTGTAAAGGACATTCCCAACACTCTATTGAAGCACATTATTCTTGAGTATAACGAAAACAAACCAGTGACAAACAGCAGAGATACTCAGGAGGTGAGAACTGTAGACTTAAATGCTTCCATCTTTTGCCAATCTCCTAAGTAAAGTTTCTGGTGGCACACCATGGCAGTCTGTTTTTGTGCTTTTGCATCATGTAATATGAACATGGATCAATCACACTACGGTCTATTAAAATTGATATCTTGTTCTTAAAAATTTGCATGTTTAGCTCTATGAATGCTGTGCTCAGTAGGTTTTTGACCTGCGTTCTCGTGTTGTCTACAGGTTAGGCTTGAGCAAGGGCTTCAGGTGCTAAAGATTTTCAAGGATCATGTCTGCAAGACATCCATGTTGGATGACTTTGGCTTTTATGATAACCGCGAGAAGATAATGCAAGAGAAGAAATCCAAGCGACAGCAGCCACTGGAGAAGGTACATGGGTAGCAGGATCCTTTATCTAATAAACTCGTGAATCTTATGACTAGATAGTTTTCTCTGCAATTCTTCATACGAGTACACTGTTTTGGACCTCCCAGAAGTCTGAACTACCGAGAACTACCTTGGTGTAGCATATGAGTGCCTTTTACTTTACCATGCAAGTGTTTGCAGCATATGTGTGATAAGAGGACTAAGTACCTGTTAGTCTATATTCATTTTCTTGTAATGCAATTTTGTTATGGCAGCTTGATCCTGGTGAATTCCATGGCATCCTTCTGAAATTTGTACCTAGTCTAGTGTGATTACAATCAAGTTTCTTTTTCTCGAAAAGATTCCAATCAAGCTTCTACTCTTGAGAAATGCTGGACTTACTTTGTAACATCCCTTACTGGTCTTGCAGATCATGAACAAAAAGCCGCTTTCTGTCAACAACACTGAAAACCAAGATGTCGATGGGAAGCAGGGGATGATGAACAAAAAGCCGCTTTCTACCAGCAACACTGAAAATCAAGATGTCGATGCAAAGCAGGGGCTGCAGGAACTCAAGGTCCTAGGAGAGAAAAACCCTGTGGTGGAAAACGGTGTGGCGGCAGGGGCTGTAAATGGTGTTGCCCCAACAGACGCAAGCCCGGCAGCGGTCGCAGCTGTCTGTTGATTTCCGCTGCTCAAGTCATTTGATCATCCATTCCAGGAGGACAGCTTATACAGGGTGAGGAAGCGTTGCCGTGGCTGAAGGAATTCAAGATTCTGCTAGTTGGATATGCTTGTGGGTTGCAGAAAGGTGCAAGTCTGAGGCGATTCAGGATTCAATGAGAGGCTTTTCTTTTTTGTGGTTCTGTTCTTCTGTAGTATCTTCGCTATTTCTGGAGTCTGGTGGTTGGGGCGGGTAAGGAGATTAGAGCTCAGTTCTTGTTCTGGTGAGGTGTTTTCGAGATCCGAAATGGCATTAGGAGTTGTACCTAGGGCTGGGGTTTTAGATGTGTAAGGCTTGTGCAACCAACGATTATGATTGTGGTGCATCTTTTATATTGGAAGTGAATGCTAGCAGTTTTTCAGTAGTACGGAGTATTGTTTTTGCCATGCTGTCTTTGCCACGCCGGTCTGCTTTTCAGTAGATTATTTGCCCGAGATGAAAATTCTGCTGTTGTGGCGACACCAAGGTAACAGCAAAGCCAGGGGTTGCATGTCTTCATTGTGAACTTTATGATCTTCATCTCCGAAAAGACTAATGAGCACTTGCACACAGAGAACGAACTAGTGTATGAGAACGCCAGTGATAGAGTTTGTACCTGTGAATTGTTCTAACGTTGTTTGCTTTTATCATACTACATCACAAAACTTGCTGGGGCCAAGGCTTCAGACTGTATTTTAGATTCTTCTGTCCAAAATTTCAGATTTTTTTTTTGTCATTTCCAATCAAGTTCACAAAGAAGATCGACAGTTTTGGGTTAACAGGGTTAACACTCACGAGACATATTTAGTTTCAAGATATCCCTTCAAGTGCCTCCTGTCGCCCCCCTCCGGCCCTCCCCCTCCCTCCCTCCCCGGGCGACCCGGGTGATCTAACCCTAGCCGCCGGACTTGGGGCCCCACTCCCCCTCCCTGCCGTCGCCGGGCGAAGCCAACGTGGTGTCGGCGACGGCGGGATCCTCTTGCCC